GCGGATATTCTGACATGCCTGGCCCAGATCTCAGTGAGGACGTGAAGCGGCGCATTAAGCGAGCAGTAGACAATGGAATGTCAGCTAAGGACGTCGCTGAGGCATTCGGTGTGTCTCGCTCCACTGTTTACCGCGTCATGGGGGCCGGAGACGATCAAGAGACTCGGAGAAAAGGAAGAGCGCCACCCAACCTGAAGCGAACCGAAGAGTTCAAGACTGAAGTGGCAGCAGCGGTTTCTGAGAATCCGCGCAAGAGTCTCAGGCAGCTGGCCAAAGAATTTGACGTGTCTGACATCACTTTGAGGCGTACGGCTTGTGATTTGGGCCTGAAGTCCTACGCACTTCCTGTGAGGCAGCTGGTGACTTCAGGACAGCGAGAGGCTCGGCTCGCGGACTTGTCAATGCGTCACAGCTACAGTCATATGAAGCTTTGCTGTTGGAACTAGCAATACAGTTGAAGCAGCAAAGAGTAATAGTGGCGTTGAAAGTCAATGATTTGCACTACCATTTGCATGTTTCAGTTTCAGTTTAACAAGTGCAGCTCGGACTTTGCATAAACTTTACTCCACTTTTGACAAAAAGTGCAATAGAGCTACAATTTTTTACTTGTGCACAGTGTGTGTGGAAAATATGTGCGTGCTGATAGTGTTAAATAATCTGCACTTAATATAACTTTAATCAATACAAGCCTTGAAGCCAAGAATTTAGCAAATACAAAATTCGGGAAATTCAAAGTTTGCTCATGAGTTTGTCGCAAGCAGGCTGTCGCACCCGGTAACTACTCCTCACTTTTGACAGAGATAGGTCTTGGAAACCGCTGGACTTAGAATGTAAAATATTTTATTCACTGGTTTCATGTAACCCCCAATAGTTTTGAACTGTTTACAGTAAATTCCTAGTTGATTATACAGGTACAAGCAACATCTGAATTTTGCATTACTTGGCATGGAATGACTCCAATGAGACTAGGGGCGGCCAATCAAACATGCCACATCCAAAGGTGCCGCATAATTTCCTCGGGATTTCTTGGAAAAATATATGGGCCTCTGAGCGAATAAAGAATAGATTATAGGAGGAAATGTATCTAAGAGAAACAAGTTAGAAAATTAGGGGGGAAATTATTAGGAGAGGTAGAGACAAGGAACTTGTAGAGTTATTTTCTTGAACAGTTTGAGTGTTTCTGATGAGAGCAATTCGTCCAAAGACGCAGTTCGTATTCCTGAGAGTCCTTTTGCGTGCTGAAAGTGCATCAAGGACATCAGGCATGTAAAACTCACTAGCATCATTTGCAACTGATGGCGTTTGTCAAGTTCTTATGAATACACTTTTCCTCGGTCAGATGTCCCATGAATGACTTATAATCATGCGGCCTGTGCAGAAGAACTAGAACTAAGGTTTCCCCTTGTGGGTGAATTGGTGTTCCAAGATTCAGCGATGAGACTGGAATGGAAATGTCAGGTTATGTGGAATTGAGTGAGACTCAAAAAGCTGATAATTTATTCAGAGTTCAAGCATCGAGCTTTGTTGAACAAAAGGACTGGCACATAGGATTATTTANCCAAGTAAAATAGGGTCAATTTAGATCAAGACAAGATATTGGAATGATACCGACGGAACAGTTGTAACGATTCTGGCGTTGCTTTTAACACATGGGTGACGGGCCCCGAGAAATCTCGTAGTACGCTCGCGAGCGGTTGGTGACCGGCCCCGTCACCAACCGCTCGCGAGCGTACTACGAGATTTCTCGGGGCCCGTCACCCATGTGTTAAAAGCAACGCCAGAATCGTTACAACTGTTCCGTCGGTATCATTCCAATATCTTGTCTTGATCTAAATTGACCCTATTTTACTTGGATTTTCATGTGAGGAACGGTCTCGCGCATACAGTGAAGATCAGCCACGGTGATAGGAAAATTAGCAAAGCTTCTTTCCCTTAAATAAAAAATACAAACATTCGCATAGCATTAAATAAGCGACCATTGCTCATCCAAGTGTTTTTAGAGGAGAGGGCGATGATAAAACGTGACCAATATGTCGTCTCATACTTGGGTTTATAAGTTATAAGACCAAAGTTTTCGACAGAGCAGTTCAAGTCACTATCTGAGACGTATTTTGGGACTATCACCATCACCGAGAGGGAATGTCACCCATGGGTTGCTAATGGCAAAGAAAGCATTCCCCATGGGTACTCCTCCCAGGAGTTTCACCGAATTTAACTATTAAAAGTGATGCAGTCCTATCCCTGCACTATTTCAGATGAAGTTACGGCATTTGTGAGAGCGAGGTGAGAGATAAAGTACCATGTAATACTAATAACGACTCTCATACAGTAAGAATGGAGAAATTACTAGTTCTTGGAGTCTCTAAGTCACCTCAAAATAGAGAAAGAAAAGAGTCAACAATACCAAGGAGCCGCTGGGAGTCGCACAGAACCTCACTGCCATTGCTGGAAAATACACAATCGTCGATGACGCTCTCGAGAGACACTCCCCTATCTACATGTAGGGCGCTGCTCGGGGATTTCAACGTGCATTCGTTACTTGAGGGGGAACAAGTAGCCAATAATCTAAAAATTATGTATGAAATCGAGCAGCATGTAGGCTCTGCTTACATGAACACAAATCAATTTGCCAAATGCATTAATTTGAAAAATGAAAGGTAGGACGGGTGAAGGGCTCTACCTAGTGAAACACAACATAGAACAACATCCATTCGATAAGATAAGACCGAAGCCAACGATCACGCACGGTCATGATCACCGTAGTGCTGGAATGAAAACCTCATGCCGGGTTTCTATAGGAGCGAGCGAAAAGTCTCCCTAAACGTCCACAAGATCCTTTTGTAAGTTCAGTCCAAGTCGTAGACCAACCTCCAAGACAGAGACCTATCCGTAAAAGATGTGACATCTTGCCTACTGGTTGTGCTATATGTGACGTCACTCGCAGTTTTAAGACGTGTTAGGAAAGCGTCTAAGAAGTGAAGGGGCTCTTCCAAGCGCTCCCCAAGGGAAGTGATCGCGGAAATCCACCAATGAGAACCCTTACGGAAATGTCCTATAGGAAACCTATAGTTATTTTTTTATAGGAAACCTATAGACTTTCATGTAGGTTTTTGAAACAGGAAAAACGTATAATTGTCGCTGGGGGCAAGGCCTGGTGAGTAGGCAGGGTGAGGTAGGTGTGGAGGGAGGCGTTGTCATGGAGGAACAACACCCCAGTAGACACCAGTCCCCGGCTCTTCTCCTTCATTGACTGAGGAAGACTGTGTAGCAAACCAGCGTAGTACTCACCTGTAATGGTCTTCCGGTTTTCTAAGTAATCGATATGAAAAGTGAAGGAGTAACCGTAGAGTCGCCTCACAAGGGGAACCCTATTTTCTCCATGCATCTATATAATAATAGCCGACGTACTCCTGTCTGTACGCCGGAGGTCTGCACGGGTCGACTCTTTCGAATCCGATTCGAGAGACTCGTCTCACTTCGTCGGGGGAATCTCGCTAAATAATTTCTTTATAGGCACAGGTGTTGGGGGTTTGTTTGGATTCAAAGTCAATCGGTGGCCTCTGATGACCGAAGAATCTCATGCTCCATCTCTCTATTAATGACCCCAAATTTGGCGGTTCAAAAAATTCTGCGAAATGCCTCATTTAAATGCTATTCAACTGAATTCCAATTGCCACAATCAGACCTGAATATTTCACTGTTTACGTCTACCTGTCTCTCCACCTGAGGCTTGCGCGGGTCAACTTCTTTGAAACCGACCCGATCGGTCCGATTCGATTCGTGGTCCTACCGTACCTGAAACTCGATCACCGGACCGAACTTTACGTACCCCTCCCCCCGGTCGTGTCGGGCCGATCGTGCCAACGCACAGCCCACTAAGGCCTCTGAGTTTAGAACTTAGGGCCTCTGGGTTCTATTAACTTACATTTTTTCGGACGAATGTCACAACTGCTGTGCCACAGAATGCATTTTTCATGGCCTAAAGGTATAAATGATGTTCCATAACTTTTTGGGAAAATGCCCTGATATTAAGTTTTACGAGTGCTTACGAGCTTCCTAGAAGATATTTGGCTTTCAGCACTTACGCAGGATATTTAAATCCGTCCGATGTAGGTTAAAACGACTTTCATCCTTTTGCTTGTATTACATGGAAATGTAATATTGTATGTAATATCCTTGTATTACAATACATGGAAAAATATCATCACCTTCGCCGCTACTCTCGATATTGATAGTGATCCACATCGAATGTTATGCATAGCCTTCCAATGGGAATGGCAGATAAAAAAAAAAGGACAGCCCTATCGCAATATCTGCCATTTCCACATATTACCTATCGAATGGCAATTGTCGCATTATCAATGGAGGCATGGCCTTTTCAATTTGGACGATTCTGTGCTTTCAGAGGCATTTGTAGGTTCCTGAATGGAGGGATGAATTAACATAACATTTGGATATTGCAGAGAGACTGTTGTCAGGACTCAAAATGGTCTTCGCACTTGGACGATGTCGTTACATGACTTAACAACATATTGGTTCCCAATGAGGAATAGGAATAAACTATTTCAATGCTCCCCGTGGTGGTATTGGAATTAATCAAAAGTAATTGGGATTGAGACGGAGAAGAGAGAAGTCTCTCTGGAAGTTCGTCGTTGCATAGATTATGGGATATTGCATGAAATACAGAAATAAATTTCTGTACATGAGCGGTCTCTAATTCAAAGTCCAGTTGGAGACAAACTTATTACCTTTGGACATTTCGCAATTTGGAATTGAAGGCAAACTAGTCGGCACTTCTAATCAAGCTTTACTGCATCTGCATCATTTATACATTCCATAAATTCACTCTATTCTTTTTGAAGCGTGGAGTGATTAGAAATGGCGAAGCACAAAGAGAGTAAGACTAAGTAAATGTAGAGAGAGAATATGCACAACAAGGAAATATCAGACCTTCATTTAAAGAATGACTATAAGTTTTGTGAAATCTTTATATTTCTGTCCTCATTCCAGGACGAGAAAGTTCATTCTAATACAGACGCAGAAATTCTCATCCTTGTGGGGGTGACCGGGAATGCTTCCTACTCTTACTCAGGTCGCTATTTCTCTCCAACAAATGCAAGTGCTTTATAAATCCTCTTGTAATTCGATACCTTTCTTCGCCTCATGACTCATGTCTTGGTATACTTCATCGGGAGTATCGGAGTAAGATATATCTATGAATTTCTGGTAGAATCCTTCATGTACTCTTCAAAGGGATCGACGTTTCGCTCGAGCATGTAGACTAATGCTGCTTTCGAACGAGCTTCTTGGAGGTATCTGATTCTCTGGATAAACCCCGGTCGAGATTCAATTTTCTCCCTCTTAATCAGGAGATCGACCCATTCCAGCACCAGCAATGGATCAGGCATCAACACTATTTTCTGGAGTTTTTGCAAGCATGCATGTGCTGTTGTGATCAGCTTGGGTATCATCTTACCTGCTGCGATTTGCTGTTGGATGCTCTGAATGGCAATCTCCAAATGTTGACGCTCTTTCAGCACTTCTTTTGTTAGCGTCAGATTGACGGGATTTGTGTTTGCTAAGATCTGAAAGAAATTTTCCAAGTTTTTTCTGCTCATTTTCCAAAATAAATTTTCGAATTCGTCGTTCTCAGGACGGCTTTTCTTTCTGACGAAGACAGCGGAATTGTTGAACTTGAATGATTTCTTGTATGGGATGCCTGCATCCTTGATATCTTCAAGGACGGGGGACTTTTGGTTATCTGAAAATGTAGTGAGGACGAAAATATTTTCTTTGACGTCTCTCCCAAACAGAGCCATGATTGCTTCGAAAATGTACTTGTGCGTAGGTGTAGGCCTTGCCTGGAAGGCTGGGACAACGTAGCAAATCCCATCAAGTTGATCCACGCCAATGTTTCCATCAAGAAAGAATTCCCGTATTTGATTCTTTATGTCTTCGTCCGCTTTGATGCCTTCTTCATTTCCAAACCCTGGAGTATCAATAATCGTCAAGGTATAGGGTAGAGCGAATCCTTCTTGTTTGCGCAGAACGTATGCAGTGACCCATTTCTTCTGACTGGGGTATTGGGAGTCTTCTTCCTCAATCAGCTTAAAACGGAAATCGTCTTCCCACATTACCTCAAAGGAATAATTCACAATCCCATTGATGAGTCTGCTCTTTCCTAAGAGAATATCATAATTTATTGAACTTCAGGACTTGTGCGTCTCATTTACAGGGTGGCCCAAATAAGGGCACACTTTTAGAAGCGCATTTTTGGTGCGATGCTTTCAATTATATTTTCTTCCGGTTTGATATAATGGAAAGAAGACAAACTCAGCGACAAAGCGCTTTCATCAGAATTGAAATATCTTAAACGGTGCCTTGGAAAAAAAAAAGATTGAATTTCGGTCATGAAAAAATCTGCGTAGCGCTAAGCAACTCGACCTAACATCACCCTCACGTCTCAGCACCCACGAGAAGGCGGAGGAAAAAGGTGACCTCGGCAGACGTCGCGAGGATGATTGAATGTGCCAGTCGCCGTATAAGGTCGGTGAGCGGAACGCAAATTTCTTGAAATCGAAATTCAAGTGTCATTTCTAAGTCACCGTTAAAAATATTTCAAATTAAAAAAAAAAAAACATTTTGTAACTACGTCTTTCTTCTTTCCATTACATCAAACTGGAAAAATATCCTTGGAAGCATCATACCTAAAATGCGCATTGAAAAGTGTGCCCCTTTTCGTGCCACCCTGTTTAATGAACTCGAAATACGGTGGACTCACCTGCTCCTGTCGCTCCGACAAGCATGATAACCTTTCCTGCTCTGCTGTTGCCTTCTTCGATGCCAATTTCGTATTTCGCCAGTAGATTTTTTGTGTCTTCCATCACTTTCATTTTTGGCAATTCATGAATGAATCCATCAATGTCCTCGAACTGCCTCTTCATTTTGCCAGCGAGAGAAAACTGATCCTATAAATGTATATGTCAATGGTTGAAAGGAATATTGCACCTATGAAACATTACCGTATAAAATGAAACTCTGGTATTTCTCCCATCATTCAAGGAAACAAAAGTTTTTTTTACTCCTCTGTAGGCTTTGAAAAAGAAAGCCTAGTTGGAATTGATTCTATTCGTTAAGTTCATCTCTATTGGCTGGGTAAACCGGCATGCGGACAAAATTCCGCAGAACTGAATATCGAACTCCACATCCTCGAAATCCGAAAACCTCGAATTCAATCATTTCGACTCATACGCTCGAAAATAAAAAATTAAGAAGTCGTCAGTCTAAATAACCAATTGGACTGCAGTCAAATGACATATTCTATTGAACAATAACGATTTAAACTTAAAATGGATTGCAAAGGAAAGCTTTTTATACATGACATAACTCAATATTCGACATTATGCGCAATTCCTCCTTGGGATTAATTGCTTGCTGATAGTAATTGGTTTGGTTTACCATGAGCTCCATCAGGTTCTCTTCCTTCGTGATTGCATTGATGAACTTTCAGACAAGTGGATGAGCTGATGCGATGAGGCTTGGAAAGCATCCACTCACATTTTGGTAGGCATAAACTGTAATAGGATTTCTTGATTTCCCTTCACATTTCATCTGCTGTTATAAACCTATCCTTATTATGTTGTGATGGGTTTCTGGAAGTTGTACGGTTTCTGCATAATTCCATTGGATATATTTTGTACCTATTTTCCATGCTGGTGGAGGAATTCTTTGTTCCTTAATTTTTGCTCGGTAAAATGTTCAGGATTTCTTGCCATGCATTTCTGAATGTTTTTTCTTACCAATGCTAAAGCTCTTTTCTGTTTTTCCTCTTTTCCATTTCAACAACAGGAAGCATGTATGGTTCCAAAAAAATACGAGGGTCATTATAGGTTTACCTGGCCTTTTGCTGAGACACAGTAATGTACTGTTTTGCAACGGTATTTTTACCACCTTTAACATTGCGCATGGCAATTCAATGCGGCAACCAATGCAGTGGCAGAGGAGGTCCAACTATTGTTTCCATGTTGGAGGAAATAGCTTAGGTTACAAACGCTATGAAGGAAAATAATTCTCAAAATTACTATAACCATACATCACTTTGTTGCTTGTAAAATTCCAGGTAGATCTTCAACAACTCTAGTGTATGCACTGACACTGGCACTGGCATGTGGCAGACTGCCTACTACCAGCAACTGTCTCTCGGACCAACTATTCCTGCCATGAGGAATTGCCATGTGTGGACGGGAAAGTTGTGGAGGTGATATATTCTTTTTCTTGGCTGTTGTTCAGTTCACCTGATGCAGCTAAAGTACGGCATTATGAAATGTGTAGCCAACAATCCAAAATTCATCAAGCCTACCTATGAATTTCATATGTTTCATTCCATTCTTTCAGTCATTTCTCATTGGGTAAGCTAGACTCATACAAAGTGTTGCTACGTGCATCTCTTGCTAGAGGCAGGTGTCGACATCCTCAGTGTACTCGTATTAACGTCTGGTCTCAAGAGTAATTTAATTCAAGAAATGGGAAAGAGAAAAGTAGGGAATTTCAGAAAAGGTCACTTACCCCTTTCAGGAATCTTTTAACAGCTGTCATTCTTTGAAGGGTTTGTTCGTCGACCTGAATGTCTTTCTCTCGAATGGAGATCATCTCTTCAACTATCGTTCCCTCGTCACGCATGACAGTCCAAACTTCTTGATGATCCGGCAAGAAATCAATGATTAGGAGAGCCGTTCGGGCTCTGGATAAACTCTCCAGAAGCCAGAAATCTTCCACGTTAATAGTAACACAAACATTGGTTTCACATCCTCGAAAATCTTTGGGGTGAACAAAATGCAGCATCCCATAATTTTTTTCCTTGCTGTAATCAATCAGGAAGTGCATCAAACGCACGTCTGACACTAGTACGTGCACGGGCTCCGTAACCTCTTGTTTTAGTATATAGAAAAAACACATAATAGCAGGCAGAGCAGGCCTGCAAAATGCCTGACCGTAGCATTCATAATCCCAATGCTTGCCAGGACACCTGTAATTCATGCTGAAACGCTTAGGTTTGAGGCCGTGGACCAATGCACCGGGGGTGGACGCTGTATAAAGGCTTTTGACCTGCAGCAACAATTGCTTGTTGTTCTCATTTTTGCAGATGTGCTCGAGAAGCTCTGGATTTGTAAGGTCAGCCGAGTAACGCGTCTCGATAACCCCCACCTTAGGTTTATGAGACTGAAAATATGATATTAAATCCTGTGTGGATATTTTTCTCCCTCCTTTTGAGTGAGGTTGGAACACAACAGTCAGGTTAAGGTTCCCTTCAACCTTGTTCAAGTCCTCAAGCGCACGTGCCCATTTCTCTATCTCTTTGCTCGTATTAGAAGCCTGGATACAATAATCGTCCACAAACAATTGGATTGTTGGGCACCTAAATTTTTTTCGCACTTTCTGTATACCATCGTAGTTGATTATGTCTCCAGGGGACAATGCTTCAATCAAATGAATATCTAGTATATTTAGATGATTTTCGCCAAGGTTATCAAGGTAGTCGTTCCGAGAAAGAGTACTCCCCATGTGAAGTAGAAGGATTCCATACGGATCTTCTACTTGATGGGCAATATTCACAAGATGTTTTATCCTTTTCAACAATTCTGTGCTTTTTCCTGAGCATGGCGGCCCGAAAATGACAGTCAATCCGTTTGGGAACTCTTCACGGAGAGGATGTCCGTCTTGAACTCCATGCGGATTCTTCTTACTTACGTAGTTCAGAAGACGCCAGTTTGTTTCAACTAGTTCTTCCATTTTCCTTCCCTGCTTCATCTTCTCTGCAGTCTCTATATTCTTTGACAGCTGTTTCTTGATCTCACGCTCATTCGTAATCGCCGTGTCGTTCAGTATAGCATCTAGCCCACAATATTTTCCTTTTTGGAAAACTTCGTGTTCCATGACAATTGTGATATTGTTATAACACGAGGATACCATGCGAAGATAATTCCTCCAATTGTATCCTAGAATATCCAGTATGACAATTTTTTCCTTTGAATGCCATCCTAAAATCTGGTCAGCAGTCACAACTACAATGCAGCAGGACGACGTACCGCGTAATTTCCCAAATGAGTCGACAAACCCGACATTACTCTTACATACATATTTCAGAGTATTCACGAGCCAATTTCTACTAAAGATGGTATCTACAACAGCATATAAGAATTTATCTGGTTCGTTGGTGCTTTCCTTTTCTTCTTGACTTTCTTTGAACATCGAAAGTAAGGCGTGGGAAGATCTGATCGCTGCACACGAATTTTTGTCGCATATAGCATGAAGAGTGGAGCAAGAAAGGATGGGGAATAACACAGGCACCAGCTTTTCACTTCCTTCAGGTTCATGGAATTTCAAGTGGCGTAGAGTAGGTTCCTGGCAGAAAAACATCCTGCGCACATAGTTGCCAAGGGCCAAAAATAAGTCGGTCACATACCGTGTATTTCTTTTCACAACATTTAAGATGACCATGTCGACGCCTGCGATCTTGATTTTGTTTAGCTCGATATCTGATGTATACGTTGGATCATTGGGGCGGAATGCAAATGTAAGGCTTTTCACATTCTTCTTGACACGGGATATCTTCTCCCAGTGCTCTGAGAGACACTTCTCATCCAGAGATCCCTGAATTCCCAGAGTGAGAGGGACTTCGTCAAACATCACATGCTTCCCTTCCCCGTTCTTCTCAAGAAATTTCATTATCCCTTCTAGGTTCTCTGGAATTTTCTGCTCAACGCCATCAATAACTTTGATGTTCTCCTCACCTGAAATTCGCAGAAGCATAACAAATTTATGTTTCAAAATGGTTAGTTAATCTTCAAGCAATATCGTGCACCGCCTACTGCATGCTAAGTCCGTTCTATTCTCAATCTATTGATACAAGAAACCGATTTGAGCATTTAAATTCACAGCAATGCATCGAAGAATAACGTACGGAAGAATCTACAGTATATCAAATGATTGGAATCAAAATAAACTTTTAAAATACTTTTAAGTTGCTCTATAAGTCCACCAATTTGCATTATACGCTATTCCAACCAGTGAAGGTGCTTTCGTCGGACATTTTCCAGCATGATCTTGCAGCATGGTCTTGCAAAAATCATTGATGTGAAATCAACCCCCAAAATTGTAGTTCCATGAAGAAGGTGCTCCCCGCACGTCGCGACTTTTGTTTGCTAGTGGCTGGACGAACATTTCCTTCATTGGATTGGCCACCGGCGAATGGTCGAATGGCCAGCAACATCTCTGAATCTGAGTCTCTTTCCTTTCTTCATTTGGGGGTACATCCAGTCACGGGAATACGATGCTAAATTGGCTTATCTGTAGAAACTACGCAACGCATAGTCGATGGTTGCGGGACATTAATCCTGATTATGCTAGGAATCCTCAGGTTGCTTAACCAGTTGGAACAGAGTATAATACAAAATGGTGTAATATAGAGGAACTATGAAACATTAGATTTTTCTTGGATTTCAGACATGTGGTACATACTGTGGAATTGAAGCCATTTTCAATTTATGTTGCATCTTGAATGACGTCATGATGAAAAATTATATGAGTTCCTGATGTAGAACATGAGTTGGACAAGGTATAATACTGTACAAGTTATTCTGCCTTCACGAAATATCAGATTTCAGCATTTCACACCGGATTTAGTGAAGGTCAATATAGAGGTATAAATTCTGTTACGTGAATCAGTTCGATTCTTCATTATTGGCTCACATTTGACAGGGGAAATACGATGTGATGGAGGAAGTGATTAGGATTGGATAGCTTGAAGAGTTTCTATTTCAAACTTCATTTTTAATTTGGTTTCAATATTTATTCAGGGTAACAAGTACGCCACCCAATTCCATTTCATGAGATCATTTTGGTTGGTAGGAAAGTGGAAATTCATTAGAGGCTCTTGAAAGCCTATTTGATATCTTGACACCTCGTAAGGAGATAGGAAACAAATGTAATTTAAAAAAAAAACATTGACTATTTCTTAGCATTGCAATTCATGTAGATATTTATGCATATACATTTTTTACTAAGATCAAATGGATTCCTAATTCTTACTTTGAAATACCTCCTCGAAGTGCTTTGTAAGATCTCCTCCAGACAGGTTCACCACTACCACGTCAACATTGCAGTCTATTTTTGCAAGTCTCTTTGCTATCTCTTCCAGAACAACAGTCTTTCCTGTTCCGGACCCTCCTGCAATGGGGAGGATCCACGGTAATCTCTCTTTAAACGTCCTGCAATAGCGTTCGATCATTTGATTCTGCTTCGGTGTCAAGATGCACAATGTCTTCTCCATTCGCTCGCCACTTATTTGGATAAGCGCCTGGCGAGTTCGAGGCATTTCAACAGAGGAATACGCACAGACATAAAGGGAAAATATCCCATAGAAAACACTGAAAGTTTCTGAAAACACTGAAAGTGAATCTTTGGAAACTGGCAGTTCTTCTACTCCGTTTCTTTTCAGAAACTTTTGGAATGTAGATGGACTTCGGAGATCATCTTTCGACAAGATCCTCTTCGGACACGATTCACATTTCAATCGCTCGCACATGACGCTCCTTTCAATGAAGGGAAAGGCGGGAAATGTGAAAATGACGGCAGTGTCATCAAGGTCACACATTATTTCCAAGACACTTCTGTCATCGTGACATTTATGTATTGCTTCAGTGATGCTTCTGGTTATCTGAGGTTCATCTTCTTCTGAGAATGTTTCTTTGATTTGGAAGAAAATATTGTACACCTTCTTACTAGTTGGGTAGCATAAAAATGTACCATGGCTGCCACCATCCCTAAAAATATTAATGAATCTGAACAGTTTCTTTCGTAGGTCTTTTGGCACTTTCTCAAGGGCGTCAGAGAATATCCCATCTTGATTGAATGTTTCAGAGAACACATAATCAGCAACTACCAAAGATGGAGAATGGAAGCACATTCGTTTTGCCTGATTAAAAACTGCAGCAACTGCATTTTGCACCGGCGAAAGATCCACATTCTCTCCGTCAGTATTGTGGCGTTTTTTCATTGCCTTATTAAACAGGTATTCGAATTCGCTGTTTCTGAGGATGAAATCTGGTGGAAGGGAATAGTGAGTTTTCCCTGCTTCGCGGTAGTGCTCTTGACAATAATCCTCTCGTGCCTCCGCAGAGGATCCTTTTTTTCCGCCACCCATGCATACCTGGAGCAAATGCACATAGATATGACTTCATCTATGACGAATGAACCATCATCTGAGAATCACAAAATGACAGGAAATTAGAAAAGGGCATAATTATGTTTCTATGAGCAGAGTGTGAAGCGTATTTTGGCTGCTATGAACTTTTTTTCATTGATATTGCTTCTGTAATTTCAAAGTACAGAATGTCAACAGCAATTTTAGCTTCACCCCAATTCGAGCACGCTTTTGCGGTGTAAGTGTGTGTGTCTCACGAAGTCTGTGCCATGTTTCATTCCTCTCCTTACTATGGCATGATGATACTGTGCAGAAGAGTTGAGGAGAGAAAATGGATAATGAAGTCATGGATCTGTAAATTAAAAGGCTATATACGCACGAACATATCAAGTCTGGTTCTCACATGTCTACCGTCATGAGGGAAGACATGCCTATTTTTTCAGATTGATTCAGCGAATCACAGGAACACACATTTCATTACTTAATTCAGAGTAACCCTCAGAAAAATGTTGAGGCGAAGTGAAACTATTGGTACTTCACTGGTTGAAACCACTGAGTTAAGAAAAAGAACTGAAGGTGGCACGCAAAGCTTACAGACTACGAATGGAAACCATACTGGGTGTTGTTGTGGTGGTTCCTTACCGTTCTTTCCTATGGGATGTTCCGGATTTTTAATCTGTAAAATGAATAATTCTGGAATTGTCCACTATTGGCCGAGAACCCCGGTCTGGGACGCTGGATAATGAATGTTGATTGGAATGCGTTACGCAAATCTCGATAATGCCACAAACGTAAATACTGCATAATTCCAGTGATATTTAGTGACCCAAAGCCGGAGTTGCTGAATTGACGTGCTTGTCTCATATGCAAGGAATGGGGAATATAGGCAAAGAAGGAGAGGGTTACAGAGTTAATGACGATGAAACAACATTTTCGTTGTGACGGATATGGACAATGACGGCTGAGAGATCTCTGACTGAACACAGAAAGCCACAAAACTGCAAATGGCCAGCTTTTTTATTTATTTCTGCTAATTTTCTATTTAAATTGAGAATTTAATCTCTTTATACCTGTTAATTTGAGTTTTCACACAAATACTGCGGAAATAGTTACAATATTACAGACGATCTCTTCCAATTGCAAAAAATGAAAGTTTCGACACCTAAATGAACTTGTTTTCAGCATTTTTCTAAATGTTTGTACGATATAAGGCAGCCCAAGTACATCAGTCCTCAAAGAAACCGGTATTCCACCTTGACTCATTTTTTATTTTTCTATAGTGCAAATGAATTCAAAACTTCATTTTAGGCCAATGGCAGTTAAGGGCGATTGGGAATCGATCGTAGCAAAATCCCCACAATTCAAGTGGAACGATCCACAGAGTTTACAACGAGCCTGTGGAGTGCATTGATGGGGTAACGGAACAGGTACAACCGCATCATTAGTGTATCCCTACCGAATATTGAATCATGCCCTGCCATGCCCGCCACTTCTTTCATAAACTGCGAGGTCTCCTTTCGCACCTTAAGTCGTTGAACGTTCTTTTGAAGCTCGATTAACTTAATGCATTAGGTCTGCTGTAAAACAGGCAGACTGATACGAGGTAATTTAAGGGCTTCGTAGCATTGGGCCTTTCGTAGACCCAACAATTCCAGCACAGGTAGGCTTTGAACTTGAGGCCCACTCAGGAAATTGAGGACCCACACCAATGAAATGAAGTTCCGACCAGACATCGTCAGTCATATGAAACTCTCCCAGGAATAAGTAGGCTTCCTGTACCATAGCTGCCTTCCATCTTGTGCACGTGAACAAAGACAATTGAGTGGAGATATGAGGGAAAATCCCATTGGAGTGAATCAGAAGGAGCCACCATAATATCAAAATGACTTCTAAATGCTGCAAACCTACATTGAATTGGATTGTGCGCCACTGTCAGTTCTTTTCCTTATCTCGGTGGTTGATAGAGCCCCATTATTTTTTGTTGGGAAATTTTGACAGTGAGCAAAAATTTTGGAGGAGAGCAGATTTTTAAATATGTGCTCTCCGACTTCAGTAAGCAGTTACGGACCCAATCATTAAGGATTCAGAATGTTGGAAAATAAATTTACCGGTTTTAGGGTTCGTATGGCATCATGGATGTGAAGTTTGTGCATTAGGCAAATTTTCTCAAGAGGATGTTTTCACAGTACGATTCTGACAAGCATGTTGCCATATGCTACAAATGCGATATGCGAATGCTAATCTACTGTAATTGCCGAAACTCTAATTAATATGTGAATTCCTTTACAATGTCCTTTGAGTTCGTGTCATGACAATTAATGTCCACATTCACCTTTGGCCCATTTATTGGCCAACCAATTAAATAGGAATATTATTGTGATACGTTTAGTTCAGTCAATAGCTCCATTTTCATTTCCTCATGAATTGTTTATATGTCACACTGACCTGGAGGTCCTCTAGAACGTATTTTCGAAGCTCCTCATAACCCTCTCCTCTTGGACGGAAATCGTATAGTTCCTTCATGAACGGGCACAACCTGCATTGGCGGTAATCCTGTAATGACGAAATGCCAGAAAATCCAACTGATAATCGTGGGAGACTTGGATTGCTTTAGTATATAATTACTAGCTGATCCGTGCAAGATATCTGCGATCTTCAACCTGCCGGCCAATTAATTGCCTTTGTACGGTTCGCAATGTCCTCTTCCACAGTTGATTTGGAAAAGCGTAGGAATTTTCAACATGTTAGGAATGGAAACCTTGGCGTACGATTTGCTAATGTAAACCCAACCCAGGATCCACTCTCCTAGTTAAAGTGCCAACCAACACGAGAACGGGGTTCCTATCGATGAAGGGGTCTGGTTCTCGATAAATACAGGAGCGGAGATCTCATTCCGGCGAGGAAGTCATCCTTCCTTCAGCGGCTTCAGGTGTTGTGCGCGAAGACGTGCAAAACATCCCCGCGGGAGAGTATGCATCGAGGTGTAAACACCCCTTAAGTGGGTGGGGGGAGGGGGGTGCGCGAGACGAACAATGCCTCTCTCTCCCTCTCACTCTCCAGAATGGATCTGACAGCCACGACGGCCGGAAAGAAATTTGGTATCGTTACAAAGGGCATAAAATACACTTGGAATCAAGTGTTGGAACGACAAGTTCCAACCATGGCAAGTGTATATATCGACACCTGAAATTAATCAAACTGTTTTATTTAGGGGAAGTTCTCGTTTTAGCTTCGGAGGATAATGTCTTAAAACACTCTAAAGACGACAGTTTCATAATTAAAGTGACACCGCGACAAAGCTTTTATCTCAAACAGAAGAGAAGTTATTGCAAAAACAATCTCGCAATTCCTGTCTATACAGTACACACGTAGGCGCCAGGAGCCAAAAATAGGTGGCGCTCAAAAGCATATATTGATATATCGAGATCGAAGCGTGATTTTAAAAAAATATGTGGACTTTTATTTTCTCATTATCAATTCTTCTACATGCATGCTGATTCTTGTCAAAATCAAAGATGGTAGAACTTATACTCTGGTCGATTTGGTGTGGAGTGACCCAAGAATCAAGAAATGTTACGCTAATTATGACTCTTTTTCGGTCGTTTCTTCCGAAGCATCTTTTGCCCTGCGCTAATACTATACCAAACTGCCCAGGAGGAGCAGACGAATATGATTACGTATATAGTATCATATTGGCTGCAGAACATTTTGATTACCATACCTTTTTATTTGATATGTTGATTTAATTCGTTTGGAGGGGAAACGTGATGAGGAAAAAACATAGGATCGAACGTGATGACATGACACTTACCGATTCGAATGTAGGAGTATTTGGATGGATTTTGTCCACTGTCGTTCCACTTTCCAACTTGCTATGAAGCTTGTTTTTTGAGGAGGATTCATTTAACCTACGGAAAGGTTGTTTAATACTCTTTAGTGTCAGGGTCGGCAACTCGGATGAAGCATGACGTGCGACGTTCAGAATATTCAAGATATTAGCGCTAGGAATTGTACAAGATCATCCTTTCCTATCGATAAGGCCACTCAGGCTTCAGGACGTTTAATCACCCGAGAGACGCTCCTCTTAACTAATAATGGCAGTGTCATGAATGTGATATCCCCTTTCAGGAAGGAGCGTATGGCTGTCGTATGATAAAAGCCATTTCATAGGTTTATAGGACAATTCAGAGGTTGAAACTTTTGACAGCCATAGCGAATAAAGGGTTATTCAAAGGCAGATTCGGAAAGGAAATTATCATATATCTCCAATATTTAATGGAGTGTGACTCACCTTCCTTGTCTCTCCTGTGAAGTTGAACCGGAAATAATGGTGGATGAGATTCTATTGTCATTGCAGGTGTCTGGGCATAAATCAGTGTATCCTGTAGAAAAATTCATGAGACGTAGTCTCATATCAATCTTATCTGCACAATGAATATGTTGTGAGCCAAGCGTAACATGAAACATTTTTTATACTAGTACATTTATTTCTTTATATTCACCGAATGAAAAGGACAAAATACGAAGCTGGTAGATCGGGGACAGTCATCTAATCCGAAGTTAAAAGTTTCCAAACCGAAGTAAATATTTTGGGAGTAAGGAGGAAAACGTTGAATTGTATGATTTCATCAACTTGTTTAAATATTTCTATTTTGACATTTGCATTCCAATTTGCCTTAAGTTTTATTTTCCATAATGCACTTGCTTTGAATTTTTTTTTTCCGTCGCGCAAATTATGTTGACTATTTTCCCCATGATTAAAATGCAACTCAAGTAGGAAGGGGTTAGCAAATTTCTTCTAAGTACAAGCATCGATTTTCGCTGAACAACAAGTAAGGCTTTGGAAAATTCCAAAGTATAACAGAAGCTATAATTTTTTCAAAGTATATTACGCATTTAAAGCAGAGAGGATTTTATAGACGGTGAATTTGCTTTGGCACTTTTTCCTCATGTTCATCCATTTTCCAGTTGTATTACCAGCCATTTTTATATAATTTTTTTTTTCATTTATTGGAGATACGGAAGACAGTTGTTAAAAGTAGAATTTCACTTAAAATAATACATCCTAACCTACCCGAGGTTTAAAAATCGTTCAAATTTGGATTAAGCTATATTTTTCTGTTGCACAAGTGGCATTAAAATATATATATATATTTCATCAAAATTGAGTTAGAGGAACAACAGGGAAAACAGCTTTACAAACTAAAACTGGGGATTTAAAACATAATTTTTTTTCGTGTTGTGTAGTGATAACTCAACGCCAGTTGGATTACTATATCAATTGGAACAAGTCAATCATCGTCATGATAATCACATTAAAAGGGCATGGGAAAGCGAACTCCTCCCTTGGGACTGCATTATCGATCTGAAGCGAAGAAAACGATGATGGAAATGATGTTAGCCTGTAGTAATGTCATTCTTCTGCCGTCTCTCATATTCTCAAGGAAGTTCTATTTCGGAATCAGAATCGGTCTCCTGGGGAAGATGTCCCAAGGCCTCAACTATTCTTAGAGATCGTCCATTAGGGGCAGAACAGTTTATGATGCCCACTTACTTAATTGGGATGAGTCCGCCACCTTTTCTTAGGAATTGCAAAAAAAAGGGTCACAATGGAACTTCATGGAGTCAAGTTAACCTACCGTTACAACCAGCTCAATTTGGGAAGAGCCACTGGTATTACGTTACGGTATTAACAAAATTCGTGGTATGACACTGCGGTTTTGCGATGGAACGCGCCCTCATCGAAATACTAAAGCCAGATCTAGTTTGCCACAGTACCTCATGGTACCAAAATTCAGGATATACGCAAGTCAATCAGCTTCTACCATTGATGTACGATTCATGATAGTGACCGAAAGCGATTCGACATCAAACAAATTATCAAAACTGCCGGTCAAAAATCAATGGGTGAAGCTAAGAACGGTTTTTGGGGACGAAGCGAGAAAAACACATCAAGAACCAATTTAATATTGCGTGAAGGCTGAGTGATTTAACCCCCTTTTTATATAAACATGACTTACGTTTGTACAGTTTATTTGAAAGGATCTGGTGTTCGTTCTCCTGAAGACATTTCAAGAATTTCTGAAATGTAGTGTCTCCTTTCTTCGGGAGGATTCTCTCCAGGAACCTCAATTTCTCAGATCGAGAGTATTTAATTGCATCTTCATATTCGTCGTGTTCAAGCACACCTTCCCTCCACAAACCATTTAGGACTGCATCATGGTCTATGAACTTCAGATCATCAGTGTGATCGGCGATTATCCTTGCGACAGTCCTCCCGTCCACAAGAAGGTCCACCGGGGATGAGCCCTCCATTCCTTGGAGATGCAGTCACGTCCCTGTATAGGATGTTCATTCATATCCTCTCTTGCATCATATCACTGCCATAACTTTTCCATTCGGGGAACCTTTGATCAAGATGGAATCCTTATGAAGTTATTTGCCACTTCTTTTTGCAACAGCGATGCTTGAGTCAAAGGTTCTGAAGATAGAGCAGCCCTTTGAATGCCAGCATAACCATATCTTCACACACTTCTTCCGGATCGAATTCGTACCCGCTTCATAGGAGCGTTTTCATCGACTGCAGGTAGTGACATCTTCCATATGGGTAGTATTGTGTATTTTATGTAAGATTGTGCTGAAGCGGAACTTCAGGAAAAGTTGCGTTTCCTCCATTCTCCACAATTGGGAGAGGGGGTGCGAATTCAATCCGTAAACTACAATTTCTTCCGTGACTCCTTCCATAAATTAATTGGGAAAAATCTTTTCCATCCAACATTCGCTTCTCTTGAATGTACCCCAAAGATATCAAACAATAAGGATGACATTAGAGGGTGAATAATACCAGATACTCCCCTTGCAAGCAATGGCAGAATCTTTACAAGTGTCCCTTTGGTACATTCCAGTGTCTAACTAACCCTATTCCATTCCATGTGAGAAATGGACTCCTAAATACCGGGGGTGCCAAAAGGTAAGGAAGCATTTAAAAAATGTTTATCTCTCTAAGGAATGCCTCGAATTAAATTAGTAAAACAATAAAAGAAAGATCACCTAAAATATTTTGCTACATATTTTGGCAGTCACCATTTGTGACTGGAAATACCAAACGATATTCGAGCTCTTGCCACACCAGAACGTCAGGCAAAACTGTCTGGATAGGTGCGAGTATTATATTCTTCAGATCTTTGTGATTGTCGACTTTTCGAAAGTAAAATGTCCTGATATACCCCACAATAAAAAGTTCAAAGGGGTGAGATCAGGTGCTAATAAAAATTTGGCTTTCCAACAAGATGGTACAACTCCCTATTCTAGCAAACTTATGCTCAAGTCCTTAATAAAATCAAAATTCCCAGATTGGATGAAGATCACTTGATCTCGCTTTCTTGGAATTTTTATTGCGGGACTATGTGAGGACATTGTTGGCTCAATGAAAGTCGACAATCTTCAAGATCTGAAGAACAGAATCGTCGCAGCTATCCAGAGAGTTACACTCGGCATTCTGCAAGAAGAGTGGCAAGATCTTGGTCATCGCTTTGGTATCTACAGTCACGAATGGTGCCCGCGTGAAATTACAATGACAGGTTAAAAAAAATGCTAGAGTTGCCCTTTCCTAAATCATTTTAATTATTTATTTATTTGCATTCTTTAGAGCGATATCAATTTATTTAATGTTTCGAGACATTTTAGAACCCCTTGTACAATGAAGAACTGGCGATATGATAGGATCAGAAACAAAGCTAATGAAGCGCCAGCAGCAGAAAAATTTTAACGAATAGTAAGTAGATTGTGGAAATTCTAGCTGATCAATGAGATGAATGTGGGAATGGAGGAATCAGCAGCAATTTATTGGATTAAAGTTTGATGACCAGCAAAAGTCTGAGTTCTGCTGCACAGAGGATATGCTTTCGCCCAAGTGACTCAGCGATCGAAAGTAACGAAAATAGTGTCACTTCCTCGCCATAGGTTTCAAAGTTAAAATTAAGTTCAATCAGGCTCAATTGAGTCAAAATTTGAGTCACTTGGAATTATTGTTTCCCCCCTGAATTTTGACCCTAAGAGAGCTGTCTGGGCTAAATCCAAAATGGATCATCGGTAAAATTTATGTTCAGTTCGCCCTTAATCTGAGGGCGGGGGCCATGGTTGAAGCCACTGATTACCGAGGACTAGTGATTAGTGAAGTCATTCTTCTAGAATTTTCAAGTCATCACGGAAAACGCTTATACCAGGTTTAAATCATGGCTCTAGAAACTCGCACTTTAATGGATAGGTGATTTGCTTATAAATGCAGTAAGTGAGCATGAAACGTGGCCTTCTCCCAAACGATTATTCTCATCGAGCTTTTGTCAATCATCGGAAAATTCGTAGTATTGGTCAATATTTCATTGAGAAAAGTCTGCAGTTAACCCGCTCTCTGCAACAGTTCATATACCCTCTACCTGCTAGAAGATTTTACAGCCAGCTTTGCGAGCTTCATTGGAAAGAAGCTGCCGTTTTGTCTCTATGCTCTATTTTTGAATGCATTGCCTGTTCTTGCTTTTATACTCTTAGGTATAATTGCGAAGAAAAGAATTCCGTTATGAAAGCGTAGCTATGAACAATTTTTATTAGAAACCACAAATATAAATAAGAAGTTCTGATTCCATTATTTGCTTGCTTAAAGTGAGAGTTCTATGCTAGAATTTGTGGCTTCTGCAGTTTCCTTCCGTTCAAAATGCAAATATTTTCACATCATACCTAGATATGTTAATAGGTCCTAAGGCCTGGATTCTTGGCAGAGCAGTTCAATTCAAGGTGAAGCATCGGTCGATAGCGGCAAAGAAAGCATTCCCCACGGACACTCTTCCCAGGAAGTTGACAAATTTAAACCCTCAATAGTGATGTTATCCTATCTCTACGCTACCTCGCACGAAATTATGGCTCTTGCTGATAAGAGCGAAGAGAGAGCCGAATAAATAACGACAAATTTACAATAGGAGAGGAAGGAATGACTAGATCTTACAACTTAGAATGTCCAAGTCACCAAGAGAAAGGTAAAGAAGAAAACAAAGATTGCCAAGGAACCGCTGGGAGTCGCACAGCACATGACTGCCATCGCTGGAACATACGCCATCGTCGATGATGCTCTCGCTTAGTATTATCTCATACCCACACGTAGAGCACTGCTCGGGGATTACAATGTGCAGGTGTAACGTGAGGAAGAAGAAGTAGCCAATAATCTAATGATAATTCGTGCACATCGAACAGCATGGTTATGCTCTGCTTACATGAATGAATCACGAAGTGCATGTCGATGAAAAATTAAAGTTGAGACTGTGTCACTAGTGAAACGCCACTTCGGTAAGATTCAGTTATCAAGTTATCCATTCGATAAGATAAGAGCGAGGCCAAGTACCATCACGTATTTGTATGAAGCCACGTTCGATCACGACCATCGTGGTGCTAGAATGAAAACTTTAGGTAGGAAAGATGCCCTCGCTAGCTTTTCAAAGTGATTTGCAAGTGGTTCAGAAAATAATTCAGGCCAAGTTCTGCATCAAATTAGCTCAACCAGTCTCACGACAGAAATGCATCGTAGACTGAAGCCTATGGAAGAAACAAAGCTAGGACATACCTTGGAATAACTCAAGCCTAAGAAAGAAATAGAATCTAGGAAAAGCTTGGTGTCACTCAAGTTTTAGAAAAGTGTAGCCTGAAGAAAGGCCCTATCTTGCATTCAATTAACAGCGTCCTGCACTGTCAGGTTGGAGCGTTGCCAATCTGTTGCATGAGCTGTCATCGTGCAAGTCGTCGCAGACGAGAGGTTCTCCCCATCAGGTGAACAACGGTTCCCGATTCGTCGCTGTTCCTTGATCGGTTTCCACGCTGTCGCGCCAATCGTGCTGTCAGCCACTGCGGACCGATCTGCGCATCCACATCTCGGTCTGGCCAATAATATACCGAACCAACTTGATCCTGACTCCATGCACTGGAAAAGGAGACCCTTTACCTCAGACGTGGTGAGGAAGAGGAAGCATTCCCCCTTAAATAGTTCATGCCCGGGCAGGGGAGGAAGGGAAGAAAATAGGCAAAGAAACAAGAAACTAAGGAGGCAAAGAAAGAATGACTTTATTCAGTATGACCTGCCCATGACAAATTATTAGAGCAAGTTTTCGATCAAGCAAAGATGGAGATTCTCGCGCTAGGAAGGAACTTTCTTGCCTGCGGTCGGAGAGAATGTAGTTAAATTTCATGTGATAATGGAGGGTGGGTGATGTTACAGTATTCCAATCGGTCCCCTTTGCATTTAATCGCATATCATAAGGAAAGGGAATGGGGAGGGTCCAAGTCCCTCTCAGGCCCATGGGGAACCCTTCCTCCCCATTTCCCCCCCACCCATCCCCCCCTACCATATCGGCTGCCGTAATACTCGAAATTTCGTTATACACAAATGCCTGCGCATGTTTCCCGTTCCAGGCTATAAAGCCAGCTAATTTAATCAATTTAATTAAGCCAGCCAATTAAAATACTTCTTTTTTTAAATCGGTTCATGACAAGAGCTGAAAAGTTGCCTTGGCGAGAGACCGCATTAAAAATCTGAACTACCGTGAAAAGGGCTTTTTCGTCCTTCAAACAACGTGGCAGATCCCGTCTTCGACACTCCTCAATGAGAATTATGTACACCAAGGGCACTCAAAATCGCGTAAATTCACGTCCAATATTCACGATATGAAGTATAGGTAGATTATTCGTTCTAATTTTTCATCTTATCCCGCAGAAAGGTCCGATCTTTGCGATGCGGTCCGCACGCCGAAACTAATTTTAGGCACCTAATGTAAACACTGGAAAGACTATGGTCGTGGCTCATCGGTGAAATATTAATAGTTTCCGGGGCTGCCGCGTCGATCAGCCCTCGGAAACTTATTGCACATTTCTTGTGTGCCCCCTAGAAAATTGAGGGGTGGGTGCCCATTCCATTTGTGCATCACAAAAGTACAAGACAATGTGAAAGAGAGTGAAATGACAGCTGCTTGAAGGAGATTGGAAGAGGATTTGATTTGGGGAGCTTCTAGAGCAGTTCGCATTTCCTTATTTTTGCTGGTTCTTTCGATCTCAAGGCTACAAGTATGGCTTCATCGAACACATTCTTGAGCCCTTCCCGTGTGAGGGCCGAACATTCCACATATTTAACGGCTTTCAGCTTCTTCGCCAACTTGTCGCCCTGTTTCACGGTGATGGGCTTCTGCTCGTTCTCGGCCAGCTCCTCGAGTGTGGCCGCATCATCTCGCAGATCGATCTTCGTGCCGACCAAGAGGAAAGGTGTCTTCGGACAGTGATGGGTCACATCGGGAACCCACCTCTCCCTCACGCTCTCGAAGGACGACGGAGACGCGACGGAAAAACACACCAAGAAGACATCCGTCTGAGGATAGCTGAGATGCCTCAGATGATCGTAGTCCGCTTGCTCCGCGGTATCGTGGAGGTGAAGTAAGTGAGGCACGCCCGCGATCATCACGGTGGGCGTGTAATCGTCATACGCCCTCGGGATGTGTTCCGGAGAGGAATCGTTCCTCGTGTAGGAATCGAGGAGCCAGGTTGTGCCAGCTGCTTTGTCTCCTACAGCCACGCACTTGATGCTTTGCATTTTCACCAGACCTCAGGATTCCACTTTTTTTTCGGTGCTTGGCGGAGAATTTGACTTCCAACAACCAAGCACGCTATCACACAACGAGATGTGAAGAAGTGTCGCACGAAAAAAATTCAGAGGACAGGTTGCTCGCTCACATTAACAGGTAACTTTCGTTTTTTTCGGAGTCGTCCTGAATGAGGTCCGACGACTCAGCAACCAAATCACCGACGGAAACACGATATGCGAGTAACCGCCGCGTTCCACCTAATCTGCGACACTGCGCGAATTCCAAATCGCTTTCGTTTCGCTGCGTCGAGTCGACCGGGAAGCTAATAATGTCTGGATATTTTGCGGTGCACAGGCGACATTCAAATACCGAAAATTCTCATGCTGATAAATGTACCGTGAGACCGTAAACCTACTGCTTATATGAGGCTTGCTTTCCCAACGATAAGGACAAATTTTCCCAAGTGGGTGCCTCATTTCATTCTCGAATATGTATTCTTAGCCCGTCACTATCGCGGATATTTCACGGCGTCTATTTTTTTGGTTAGTTGTAGATAGACTTCATCACTAAAGCACAAATAATACACCGTGTCCCAAAAAGGAATGACGATAAAAACGTGCGTATAACAAGAACCATTTCTTAAATTCACGAAAGAAATTATAGAAACAGATTTTTTACATGCCGGTGTATTTTTCGCCAGGTCACAGGATTGCACCCCGGAACAAAATGGCGTCGTGACAGGATGAAGTCAAGTTGGTCATTCTGCACGCAAAATTACCAAGCCTTACTCACGTGCACCGAGAATTTCACGTTTTTCAGACTCAAAATGAGCTCAAAAGGAATGTCGAGTTTGGTGCGCCGTGCGAGTTCCGCGTCGGCTGCGTGCAGCGTAGGATTCATGGGCGTGAGAGGGAAAAATTCATTCGGGAATGAACCGAGGCGGATTCACCACGACGCAGAGCCTTTAAGACTCTCATTCCCACAATTTCCTGGCGGTTACTAAACGACCCCCCTCGTCGAAACGTACCGAAGCCGTTAGCCCCGACAACAGCTGCTTAGAATCTGGAACGTGGCTGAAGGAGTCCAAAGGCTTTCCATTCATCTTGAGCGAGGTTATTTTTGCAAAGAAAGGCTTTTTCGTCCCATTCCCACCAACGATTTTTCGAGCGCATCGTCCTACTTTCCCATTTCGCTTTCGCTTGGACAGCGTGGCTTTCTTCTCATCGATTTCGTTCAGGTTCTTTTCCTTACGGGAAGGTTAAGGCCGAAAGTCCTTCGTCGAATGCGGACGAGACGTCGAAGACGGGCGGAGGACAAGTGGGGGAAATCACTCGAGCGTTCCATTTCTTAAATAATAATTCACCAAGAATCCCGAAGTTGCAAGTTCCAAGTTATTAATTATTAATGTATAGAATAGAGAGAGACCGAGAGACAATCCGGAATGCTGCGAGAGGCCCTTCGCTTGGATTTAAAACGCCAGGATAGTTGATGACAGTGACTCCTTTGTTCTTATTCACAGCTCACGATTGGGTTACGGATTTCCGATCATTTTTCTGGGATTTTTAGGCGCATGCGTTATGATTAATCCATTTTGCAACCTCTACACATGCCTGCCGATTGATTTTGCCTCAGAAGAGTCTCATCATGAAACAGGAAAGGATCGTTTAAGGACGGCAAAGAAAAACATTTTTAGCCGAAAGAAAGTGAACATTTCCAACGGCATTCTTCCTTCGCTTCGACTGGGTCGCGCGTTTGCTTTCATTTTCCCTTCTGTTTTTATCGGAAAGAAATCCATTGGACTCGAGGACTGTATATCCTCCTGAAAATGTCCGGAGAATGTCTAAATGTCTCGTCCGAGGAAAATCATGGGACATGTATGATGGATGGTCGTTCGCTTTTCAGATCCATTGGAGATTCCCGATGAGAAAGCCATTGCATGACCGTGAAGCGGTTCAACTTTAGTAATTCCCTTGGCAGCAATGGAGCATATCCAGATTGCTCATCTTCATCGGGCCAAGCAAGGCATACCACCGGCAAAGTGCTTGGACCACAATTGGTCGCCAACGGCTGGCCAATCCCAAAATGTCTCATCGGCCAGCGGATAACCAATGAATCGGGTCAAGAATGGCCCAATATCGGCAACGTGTTTGGGGCTTCATGCCAAGAAAGGCCCAAGATATCATATACTAGTACAGGGTGGGCCAAAAGTCAGGACACACTTGGCATTTTTATGTTTTGCTTTATTCATTACAAGGTGAACCAGGAATATTACATGTATGTACGCTATTTATACATTTATAATTATATGTATTTAATTTTTAATAATATTATTAATTATTTAGATTCAGTTATATTTATAATTAATGCATAAACTAAATGAAACAAAATACAGTCGACTCCGCATAATGGAATACCGCTTAATAGAATACTCCGCTTAATGGAATACCATTGCCCGGTCCCGATTTTTCATCCATAGGACGCATTATAAAAAACATCGCATAATGGAATACGGTTATTAGAATAATTCGCTTAAAGGAATAAAACTTTCCTGGATGGTAAAATAATTTTCTTTATCTTCTGAGGAACAAATGGCTTATTT